GTTGAACGAAAAAATGTAATTATCCCATATTCGGAATACTTTGGCATGAGAAGATATTCTTTTCATTATCTATTTGTCATCTTTTTTTTATTATTATTATTGATTTATCATCTTTTTTTTATTATCTATTTAAAATCTTTTATATTATCGATTTCAATCATCTTTTATTAGTGATTTATTATCTTTTATCATTTTTTTTATTATTTTTATTATCGATTTATCTTTATTATCGATTTATTATCTTTATTATCGATTTATTATCGATTTATTATCGATTTTTTATCTTTATTATCGATTTATTATCGATTTATTATCGATTTTTTATCTTTATTATCGATTTATTATCGATTTATTATCGATTCGCCATTTCTGCCGTAAAAAATCTAGAACGCCCGAATATACAATAATAATAGTAAAGTCGGGGTCCCCCTCCCNAAAAAAAAAAAAAAAAAAAAAAAATGTACTAATTTAAAAATCAAAATATTACGAAAACAAACATTTTTTTCATTCTCCTTATAAATAACTATAATAATAGCTATAATAATAATTTTATTAACTAAAAAGAGTTTGAAAAATAAACAAATTTTCTCTTTAAGAAAATAAAAAAATGCAAAATGCAAATATATTTCTCGTACGATATAAAAATATGTTGTTGTTACTTGACTCGATTAAACCATAATAATAATATTTTTTTTTTCAATGATAAGAGGAACGGATGAAACGTATCTCAATAATAAAAAAAGCCCCTCGGGACTTTTTAAAACCCGATAAAGAAGAGTGTATATTTATGGTATTTAATACACTTATAAGGAATAAAAGGGAAGGGTGGCGCATTTTAACACATTAACACATTTGAATCATATGATTTACCTGCTGCACTCATTAGAACCACTAGCCAATGTCGTTTAACACTCTTTGTCAAACTTTGTCAATTTGTCAAACGGAATAAAATTTACCGAGTAAAAAATAAAAAAATACACGTTTTACCTTTTGATCGATAATTATTTACACCAAAAAAAAAAAGTAACTTTAAAAAAAAAAAAGATGATATAAGCTTATCGGAATTAATTTTCGGACTTAAAAAATTGCATGAAAATTTCTTTATTAAATATCATTTGATTCTCCTGATTACCATAATATAATAATAACCGAGTTCCTAAATTTAAATTACTTTGTTTTACTCATTTTAGGAGATAACCATCATTTAAACAATCATCCGATAATGTTACATCCAACCATTTTGAATGAAATTATTTACTTTAAGCAATTTTTTCAATGAAAAATTTTTGATTGTTAAAATGAGAATACGTATTTGAACATGTTTTCTCTCGTTTTGATTTAATAATTATAATTATTAATGAATTTTTAATAAATAAAAATAATCTTGAAAGATTCTTGAAATAATAAATAAATATTTATTGGTTTGATTGAACTTTTAAGGAAATTTTTTATTCCGAAATTCCGTAATTCTTTGATAATCAGGTTATGTTTCAAGTTTTTTTTTTTTTTTTCTAAAAAGATATTTCTTTCCATAAAGAACGAATGACTTCTCGATCGATTATCATTTGACTGTCTTATTTGCTCCAAAAAAAGATAAAAAATAATTTTAGCTTTAGAAAATTAGTTAAATTGTTTTTAGTAAAATTTTTTTTTTTTTTTTAAAGAAAATAAAAAAAGGTCAGCGATAGTCATTGGCATTATTAAAGAATTATTAGGCTAAAACGTTTATGGAAGTTTATCAATGATTTATTTGGTTAGAATTTACTTCGGAAAAAAGAATTCTAAATGGCGGGAAAGAACAATTATAAACTTGTTGGTAATTGTTGTAATGTTATAATGTTAAGTGTAAATGTTGTTATGTAAACGCCCAATGTAAACACTTTTTAATGTCAAACTTTAAAAAAAAACTGCGGTAATAAAAAGAATTTATATATCTGATTAGCATTTATTCGTAAACTACGTAATTGCATGATACATCTCTTATTGTATTCGCAAATAGTAGTTGGTACGACGGATAGAAAAAAATGTTATACGCAGTAAATTATTGTTTCTGTTATTAACTAAGCTACGTATAGAATCGCGTTCGTTTAAATAATTATAAATTTTTTAGAAAGAAAAGTCATTGTTTAGATTAGTTATCATTCGATTATCACTTAATTAACATGTGTAAAATTCCTCTTTCTTTCATGAATGAAAAAAAAAGGACGAAACAATTCTTTTTTGTTTGTTTATGAATTGTTTCACGCCGAAACAAAAAAAAAAAAAAAATTACGCCTTTTTTTTTTTTTTTTTTTAATATAATTTATTCAATTATAGGAATGATATAAAATAAAAAATATCGGATTGTTCTTTAATGAAAATGCTAAATTTAGAAGGGTAAAAAGTTTTCTTTTTTTATTTAATTTTTTTTTAAAAAAAATATATTTTTTTTTTTATTAGAATGAATTCATTCTATATGGGGGTCACATGATCATAGATAATAATTTTTAATTAATAATTAATAATAGTAAAATGTAATAATGATCATTTTTTTTTGGGGTCAGGTATACCTACCCTAATTATTGATTAATAATTTGGTGAAACCTATAAATAATAATTACCAAGTAAAATAACGTTAGAATAATCCTTAAAAATTTATTTTCCGATTTCAACTAAAATAAAACTGATGATTTCTTTGGATTATCAATGATATCCTTTTTTTTTTTATTATTATTTCAAATTAAGAACAAAGGATATCATGGTACGAATCCCAAAAAGATGAAAATTTAGATTATTATAGATTATGGCTGTTTGGCTGTAAATGCTTATAGTGTTATTGTATGCCAAGACGAAAATTAGATTAAATAAAAATAAATATGGATCTACATTTTGTTTCAATGAAACCTTCCTAAAATAATTTCCTTTCTAATTCGAAGAAAAAAAAAAAAAAAAAAAAAAAA